TACTGTTGAAATAATTAAACAAGAAACAAAAAGGTAATCAAAATTATATAAATGCTCGATTTCGTTCACCACTTACCAATTATTTATCACATTTGGTAAGTAATTAAAATTATTTTAATCATTTAATTAATATTATCTTTTTTCTTTTGTTCTATTTATTTAAATGGGTTCCATCTCAAGTAGCTACAGCTCATTTTCTACTTGTTCTATCACGTGATCAAGGTTTTAGTCGACGAAGGTTATTTACTGCAGTCCCATTAATTAATCAATATCCTATAGGTTCAATTCTTCTTGAAAATCCATATTATGGTTTAAGAAAACCCCTAGATCTACTTCATTAGTGTCAAAAAATGAAATTAACATCAGCTATTCTACATGATTTTTCTGTTGGTGGGCATATGGCTTCATTAGCATTTACAAAGTAAGATTCAATTCTATTATTTGATTTATTTAATGCATGGATATACAGTATCTATTATAATTTCAAATAATGATTCAAGTAGAGCAAACCACATTACAAAAAGAATATAAATTAAAAACATTGATTATTTGATTCCCTAAGTTAGAATTTTTTTAGACAACCTAAAAGCCAAATTTCTCAGTATCTAGTACTTGAACTCTCTAGGACGGTTTTTTATTGAGTAAAAGTTGAATAATTTTGGTAGCCATTGTGTATATATTTATATTTTAGATGGCCTGATCCACCTTCTCGACAATTCTATGAAAATAAAGTCTCTCAAACATTTTATGATTATTTACGGGAACGAAATCGATCAATAGATTCAAATAAAATTGTTCCCGATCTTATTAAAGATATGATTCGTCTTCTTATGGATGAATTTATATCTTTATGTAATTTTTTCACGTTCACTTCAATCAAATATATCTAATGCTATGTTTATTGCTTGTACACATGATGGTATTCCACATATGAATGATGCATAGCCTGGTATTCATATTCGATATATTCCTCATGGACATGTTAGTGCATTTTTATTTAATCAATCAGGTTTTCATCATGCTGCTGCTGAAATGTTACAACGGTAAGAACCAAATGTAAAACTAAAAAAACATCTAATCGTATCACCAATTTCTATTACTACACCTAATAATTCGTGAAGATATATATTTTTTTCATATAGATATTTTCTCGAAAAGTATCAAATATTTCCTAGTTTTGGTGGTACGATTTCAATAATAACTCAGAGAAAAGAAAACTTTTGATCGAATATAAACTACATAGATAATATATTAATCGTTTTGTTTTTTAAATATAATTAATGAAGTATCTTTCAGGTTAATTTGACAACTTTCATTTTTTGACCCGCATACAACAACTTCCGTTCTTCCAACGATATCTGAAAAAAATGAGAAAAAACAAAAATTATTAAATTAACTTGAAAAATACTTCATTTGACTCAGTTTTTTGTTCTGATTACGAATCTGTATTTAGTTTGTGACTAAAATTCTGATTTGAATTCAAAAAATTGTTGAATACCATCTGAAATGGCTATGA